AAACAAAAGACATGAAATGTTTCAAATATATGAATCCAAATGAAAGTTGTAATGAATGGCAATACGATCGGACAAAGTTTGGAAACTCTATTAATAGTGAAGTAAATGCTTATTAATAAAACTTGTACAGTATAAAACACAACTAATATTAAAACAATAGTTTAATTTAGTATGTGACCGAGCTAATTTCGCGTCATTTTCGCAAACATTATATATGTTGGGGTACGTCATATCGGGACTGGTATTCTCTCATTATTCAGATAAATACGGCCGAAGACCTATTGTATGGCTGGGATTCACAATAGAGTTGACGGGCATATTGTCGTGTGCCGTCTCACCTAATATTTATTTCTACTCAATCGCCCGATTTCTGGTAGGAATGGGTAGTTCTGGCAGGGGAATGGCTATCTATATAATATGTGAGTTAATTTACATGCTATTTTTAACTTGTAATTGTAAATTATTTAATCAAATAGTATTAGAATGTTGTGGACCTAAGTACAGGTCAGACATCGCTATTCTGGGTGGCATTGGTTGGGTCATAGGTTACGCTGGGATACCAGGGTTGGCGTATTGGCTACAAGATTATCGATATATGCAATTTGCGTCATTAATACCATTGACTGTAATGTTATTTTGGTTTTATTTTCTGTATGAGTCTCCACGTTGGAAATGGCTATCTATATAATATGTGAGTTAATTTACATGCTATTTTTAACTTGTAATTGTAAATTATTTAATCAAATAGTATTAGAATGTTGTGGACCTAAGTACAGGTCAGACATCGCTATTCTGGGTGGCATTGGTTGGGTCATAGGTTACGCTGGGATACCAGGGCTGGCGTATTGGCTTCAAGATTATCGATATATGCAATTTGCGTCATTAATACCATTGACTGTAATGTTATTTTGGTTTTATTTTCTGTATGAGTCTCCACGTTGGCAGATAACCAATGGACAGGTAGACAGAGCTGAACAGACACTCAGAAATGCACTAAAAATGAATGACAGGTCTGACCAGAATTTGAAGGCACAATTGTCTGAGTTGTCTGCATATCTACAAAAGGTATATAAATTTGTTAAAACTTAGTCAAAAGATAACACATTATATTTTAATAATATTATAATGTCTTAATTTAAGGTGCAATCATCTGAAAGTGCAAAACAAGAATACACAATATTAGACCTGGTAAAAACACCTAAACTTAGAAAAATATCATTTATAACATGGTATTGCTGGGTTACAAACGTACTAATTTACTACGGGATCAGTTTTAATATGTCTGACTTTGGGGGTAATTTTTACATAACCTTCCTATTGTCAGGACTGGTAGAGTTACCCTCACAGATATTGTCGGCGCTATTCCTTCGCTTTATTGGTCGCCGAATATTATTTGCAATATTTATGGTCATAACTGGTGTCTCTTGTTTTGCGGTCATCCCATCCACCAGTGAATGGCTTAAAGTGATGTTTGCATTATTAGGCAAATTTGGAGTGAATAGTGCCTGGAATGTGATGGCAATACACGGCCCCGAGCTCTACCCCACAGTCTTGAGGCAGAGGGGAATGGGTGTCGCGTC